ATTTGAAGCGATACACACAATGTGCGGCGGTTGGTCAAGAATGCTTGCGTTTGCTCACTCTCGGGCGCTCGCTCGCTCACACGCACGCACCGAAAGAGACAAAACAGATAGTGGAAAAACAAATATAGAAAAAGAGACGATGTAACGAATCGTATATACATTCTAGATTACAAATTCTAACAATGGTTTTAAAGGCATAAACATTTATTTCTCGAAAAATCCTTTTTATCCTTCATCTCTGCAATTGGAGTCTTGAATTTGATAATTTTCCGAAAACTTTTTTTTTCGTTCGCTTTCTCTTTCTCTCTCTGTCGCTCTCTCTATTTTTAAACATTTTTGCTCGCACTGTGTTCATTTCATTTTCGTTTCTTTTGCTTTTAGTGAATTTATGTATAACTGGCTTTTGTCCAACAATATTTTATAGCCGACTGTCTGAGAATATGAGAGCAGCTAAACGAAAAATAAAAAAATATATATATATAAAAATCCGTTAAAGACGAAGAAGCAGTCGACGAGATGAACGAACCAACCGAATGTAAAAGAAAAAAATTTTCAACGAAAATATTTATTACTGACATTAATTTATATATGTATTTTCGCCAGTGCGAACAGAGAGCCGACAAAAAGACCAAAAATGCGTTTGGTTGGTTGGGTTGCAGCTCTTATTCGACCAGCTGACTATAGCTGGTCATCTCGCGATCTCCCCGATTTCACCGAAATCTCGACAAAGCAGCCTCGCACACCAATTGCAGAAATGGAATTTCAATGACTGCACTAAGCACGTAGACCAATCTGAAAACCATTGTTCTCTCAGGCCGTCCAGAAAGATTCAATTTTCAGTTCGCGTTGTACCAAAACTGATGCATTGACCATAGGCCGTCGCGTACAAAACGATGTAAACGAAAAATCGCTTACGAAAATGAAATAAGAAATAAAATGTTTTGCGCTTTGTCAATATCAAGGCATTCAGTATAATTTAAGATCACTGTATGAGGTCGAACGGCACTGGTGCCGAGTAAAGAAAACTTCAAGGGGAAAAGAGATGCATTTCGGCAATTTAAGCGACAAACCGACTTATACACCACTCACAAATATATATATATCCAACCAATGCCGATTTCACGACTGTGATAACCTTGGAATACGAAACATACAATTTGCTCAGCGTCTGACTTTTTACACTACAGTCGTTTTCTTTTCCATTACATTACGATACCATGTTCACTGCACAATTTATGACCGTATTTGTCTATTGTCTATTCGAATGGCTTTAAAACAGGAGGAGCGAGCGAGAGAGAGAGACAGAGAATAATAGAAAGAGAGCAACAAAAATGGAAAGAAAAACATGTTTATGTGGCCCAAATTTGTAATCATTCTGTTGGGAATGAGCAATTAAATTTGTTATATTGTTGCATATTAAGCTTGATGATTCGATTATTATCAATCCAAAACACGAAAGACCTCTCATCAAAAATACACTTTTAATTTGACCAATTTACGCCGAGATTTCTGAATCAAGACAAACTCATATTTTTCGTACCACACACACACATATGAAAATCACTCTTCGTGTCTTTGATACTATTTTTTAACATAACTTACACATACATCGGGTGAAAGATGAGTGTCCGAATGTGTATTTTGTCTTTTTTATTATGAATATTATTAAAATCCATATGGAAAAATTAGTTGTCGTGATATTTTGTAAATCATATCTAACGACATGAAAGAGAGACGAATGGAGAGTGAGAGAGAGAAAGTGAATTGTGCAAGGAAGTGCAAGTTCAATGGGGAAAACTCGCCACGACGAGAAAAAAAGAGAAGAGTTTTATATGTAAGCTGGGAGCACCGAAATGGCACTGAAATGCTTTAAAGGAAAATGCAGAATGCCCATGCGACATATTATTACATTTTATATTTTGTAAACAATCTCAATTCAAAATGACCACAATGGTCTAATATTCTCTGAGCACGCATAACGAACGAGATGTCCATTTTGAATGCGACCTCGAAAGAAACATGTCGCATACATTGATACGTTGCATATGCATGAACGGCCATTCAACGACGGAACATTGATGAAATTGATACAGTGACGGAAAACATGCGATTTGCAACTCTGAAATGAATATTTTTAATATACACAATCGATTCGATCGGCTGTTGATCAAATGCCAAAGTAATCAATCGCAAAAGGAAATTTTTCAAAGAGGATCAAATACAATGTGTATGAATGACACAATAAATGTGAAATGTTGTAAATGTACGTGAGAAATGAGCATCCGACATTGGTTGAGATGAAGAATATCTTATTCGTCATTTCGTATTATGTTTCCATTAATTTGACTATGGTCGGCAGTGAATGTTTGGGTTTCTTTTTGATAATTATACCATTCAAAATGGTCATTTTGTCTAACTGAATTACCCGTGGCAACAATGTTCAACAACGTAATTTAGTTCCATCAACTGAAAAGTTGAAAAAGAACCTAAAGCCAAAGAGTGCTCAAGTGAAATTTTGACATAAATATGAAGTGTGAGAATGAGAAAATAGATAAAATGGGGAAAAAGAGAAAGAGAAAATGCCCGTATTTGCGGCCACATTGTTAAAACAGCCGACTATGCTGTGTTGATCCTTGTATGTGTGTATATGCGAAAGCTGTCCTCTGCATCAAACCGCTTGCGTATGGCTATTGCACAGTGGACATGAATTTGTAGCCAGAGCAAGTACCATTATACTACTGTACTGAATATGCACGCATACAAAATACTAATTTATGTTACTGTACAATGGATAAAATTTAACTGTTTTGTCCTAAAATAACAATATATTATAATTTTAATTTTAATTTCAATCTACACGGAGAATCAGTGTGGCATTGTATGTATGTGTGTGTGTGTGTGCATCAGTCGTGTATCGTGCTATGAACACGAGTGTTGAAAGCCATTTTGCCTGTTTGCTCACTTTATAATGGTGCCTGTTTGAAATGTATAGCATAATATCCTTTGGCAGTTGCTGGATCAAAAACAAACAACATATCATAAAATTGCTCATTGCCATTTCGCCTGAAAACGATTATATGCGAATATGGGTGCGTGTGTGTGTGCACGCTGGCCGCGTTCATTGTTCATATTGTGAATGGAATTTTAATGAAATTCTTTAACTATTTCAACATTTCACTTTATTTGTATGATTACAAGCATATCTTTTTGAAATATCTGCTTTTCGATTCATGGCCAAAATGATCCCTGTCTCGATTCCATCTTTAAAAAAATTAAAGTATTTCTTGAAGTTTATAATTTTTCACAAATTTCGGTGATTTTTATTTGGATAACGATGATTTGAAAAATAATAATGAATTAGTTGAGAGTGAAAAAAAAAACAATTATGCACAAATTGTGCATCAACATAAGCTTTGAAGAAAAGCAAGTTGATGCAAATGACCAATGATTCAATTGAATGAGTTGTGGTTGAAAAACAAAAAAAAAATATTTTCTTGGAAGTAAAATCAATTTTCAATTTGATTTCAGGATGGAAAATGTGCTTTGATGAAGAGCCCAGGAATCACTCAACCCACAAACTATCAACCCATGGCCATACCGCAAACTATCAACCCAAAGTTGGACACAAGCAGTAAGTACCGTTTTAATCACTTGATTTTCAAGCACTAAAAATAGACATTACAAATGGAAGGCATGTTTGAAGATTTTCAAACAAAACTATGTTTGGATATAAATAATAATTAGAGTGAAAATGAAACACAATATCACAATATTGTTTCCACATTGACCGATGTATTACCAGCATACTGTTAACATCACGTTAAAATTTATTTAATAATAGTTATAATTTCAACAAAAAATTATGTTTTGGTGCAAACTTTTGATATGAGCACGGTCGGAAAGAGAGGGGGTGGTTCCATCCAAGAAAAATTTAGTGAAGAAAATGAATTTTTCTTGCCAAAAACTCTAGCAAAAAGATGTTTTGATTTTTCATTCTGCTCGAATCAAAGTTGATTACGAGGGGAAGGGGTAGAATTTAGACCGAAATCGAAAAAATTTCTCCCTCGTCAAAGTCATGACCAGTTTATCTTTAAAGACAAACTTTTACGAGGAGGGGGCTTGGCTATCTGACCTTACATCCCCTTCTGCCCATGAAAATTTAACATGGGAAAATTAATTGCCAACGAAATTCGAAACAAAATAAATAAATATATTTCAAAATACAAATAAACGATTTTTTTTTATTATTATTTACTGGTTTGCTATTGATGTATCAATTTTTCATTTGATTTTTAACCTGCGGATAGTCTCACTTTTCAGTGATTCGATAAAGCAATTTTACTGTAAATTTGCACAGAAAGGGTCGCCATTATTTAAAAAAAAGTGATTGAATATCAAACTTCAATCATCATTAATAACCCAAAAAACAAACAAACATGCTCGTTTCCATATTCACTGAGTTCAGGTATAAAAAGCGTGGTTTTACAGCGATCATATATAGTAAACTGCAGAGATCGAAACCATTTAACATATATCTCATAAAAAGCGATTTCGAAACGTTTTCATTGATTCGCTTTTTTTCTCTGCGTTTTTTTTTAATAAAGCTGAGCAAGCGAAACCTAGGGGGTAGACACTATAGATCTACTGTAATTATCTAATAAAATCACCAATACATCTTTTTTTCTGAATTTTGATATTCCCAATGTGTTTTACTACTAAAACCGTGATTTCTGTGATTACTTGTTCGTATTCAAGTCCAAATGTCATTCTAAAGTCGATAATGCCAATTTATACAGACAAATGTCATATCGTTTGACATTTGACAATTGCTGTCTGTTAGAAGTGAAATGACAATCGATTGAATGAACATATAATCAATTGCATCAACAAAAACAATTTTATTTTTTTAAAACTATTTTCGATATTCAAAATGAATTGCTTCGATGAAATAGAGTTTTCTTTTGGTTCTGATTTGCCAATGTGTTTAAAATTATTGCTTTTGTCCACGGGTTATGATACATTATTGAGTTTGAAACAACTCACAAATGATAGTTTATCAAAGCTGGAGATGTATATTCGAAAAAATCGTGCTTCAATTGTTTTTTGTCATTGCGTAGAGCCTTGCAATTTTGCCGATTATGAAAAAAAAATTACATTTGATTTTTCTCCCGGTCACCGAGAAATAATATTAAATTTTCCAAAAATCATCGAAGATATGCAATCATCAAAAATGTTTCGTAATCTGTCATTGGAAGGAACAAAGGTATTATTTTTATTGCTGTCAAAACCTTCCAATATATATACAGACTAAAAGTAAAATTTCAATTTAAGGCAAAGAATTCCAGTCAACTTTGTGCAGAATATTCCATCATCCTAAATGAACTATTAAATGTGGCAAATAAAAACAAAGACAGGTCGAAGAATGCGCGGGAGTATACTGATACGTTGAAATACTTTGCAACATATATATTTACACTATGCGGCCGAACTTGTTACGAGACACTACATCAAAATTTGCCTATTCCCTCGACAAAAACGATATGTAAGAAAATAATTTATAATTATTTCAAATTAATTTGAAAAATACTGTAGTAAATTTTTGTCACAAATTATACTTTTTGAATAGTGCGTTGCATCAATGAATACAAAACGAGAATTGTCGAAGGCGATTTGAGGTGTAAAGAATTACTCCAATATTTAACAGGTTAGTTATAAATATATGGTCGATTTCACATTTTCCCTAACCTCTTTAATTTCCAACAATAGAACGCAATGCCGGCACCGACATATTGCTATCAGAAGATGCTAGTGGCATTGTATCGAAAATACAGTATGACTCTGTGTCCAACCATTTGATTGGAATTGTTTTACCATTCGACGAAGTAAACGGATGTCCAAAGCAATATGTGTCTACGGCAGAAAATTTAGAAGAAATCAAACAATTTATGCAGCACAATAAATCAACACTAGTGTACATTGTTCTAGCGGTACCAATGAAAGAGGGTATACCACCCTTCTTGTTGCAGATGTTCGGCACCAACAATAAGTTTAATACTGAACACGTCATTCGACGATGGAACTTTATCATAAACGAATTGAAAAAGTAATGTATATAATATCTTATGTATATAATTTTAGAATCAAATTGATTGATTCGAAAATATTTGTAAAAAATGCTCAAATAATTTGTTTTGTAGTGGCAGTCAACATTTTCTGACATTGATTTGATTTTTTATTATCAGATATGGTATTCGGGTTCGTGGATTTTCGTCGGACGGCGATGAACGGCTTTTGGCAGCCATGCGCCATCAAATGAACCAGGATCACATCCCGCAAATTTTCGTACAAGACTCCATTCATTGCGGAACAAAGATGCGGAACCGGCTGTTAAGGCCACAAGGTTTGTTACCAATGGGAAACAAACAAGTGGCGGTTGCACATCTAAAAATTTTAATCAAAGATGTGGCAAAAGAAATACATGGATTAACATACTTCACAGTCTGTCCAAATGATAGACAGAACTTTAAATCACTGGAAAAGTGCATGAATATACGGACACGAAATGCCCTATTAAAATATGTTCCCGATAGTGATGCAACAGCTTTTTATCTTCAAATATGTCATCAAATTACGTCAAGTTTTATGGACTATAATCTTATGCCCTTGCAACGTGTCGAATTAATTTTTCATTCTGTGTTCTTTTTGCGAGCATGGAGACAGTGGATTTCGTCATCGGAATACAGCCTTGAACATAATTTCATCACGAGAAATGCTTATCTTTGTACTGAGATAAATGCGGAAAATTTATTAAGAATGATAAGACAATGTCGGGATGAAGGCAAACCAGAACTTTTCCTCACCACTTTATGTAATAGTCAAGCTTGCGAGCAAGCATTTCGTCAATTTCGGAGCATGGGTACTGCTAACTGGACAAAAGTAAATTTCTCCCTTCTGGAGCTATTGAACATGATTGGCAGGCTCGAAGTTCAAAATGATCTCTTGTACACGAAGTTATCTGCATTAAACATACCGCTTCCAAAACTTGAATCAAAAGCAACAATGGCCAAAACCAAAATATATGATTTACCATCCGATTCTGACATTGAACGAAGCCTTGAGAGAGCGAAACGTTCAGCTATAGATGATGCATCCAAATTTGGTATTATTATTGATCCAGTCAAAATCAAAGTTCCCGGCGTTAGAATTTCAAGAAATTTTCATGATGTCGAATTGAACGATTATGGCAGTGACGATGAAGACGAAGAAGTTGAATATGAAGTTGAAGTCAATGAAAATGTTAATGATAATGGACAACATAACCGTTTGGATGACGATGAAGAAGAAGAACAACAACAAGAAGAGCAAATCGTACAAGATGATGATAATCAAAGAGCATACGTAGCTATAATTGATAATTCTGGACAAAAAAAACATATTCGTAAAAGCACAATAGTTTGGTCACTGTCCGACGGTGCCAAAAAAATTAGCAGCGATCGATTGGTGCGTGTACAGCAAGCCACAAATGCCATTCAATTTTACCAGAATCGCAACTTGGAAAATTCACTTAATTCAAATGATAAAATATGTGTTTCACAATATATCACCATTGGGGACTGGTGTTTTTTTAAATATAAAGGAACATCAGATGAGAATGAACTGATTTGTATTGGATCTATTCTCGGTTTTAGACTCGCTAATGGAAATTCTGAAAAAGAAAAAATTTATAAAGGTGACCTAGTTGATTTGGCCAAAACTCCATCTTTGAAAAACAATTTGCAACTTCTATCTTCGTGGTACTTTGTAAACGATAATGCCCGTTTAGTTCCCGTTAAATCAGAAAATCATAGTTTTCTTCATATGGAAAATTACATTGCGTCTTTATTGATCAAACCAATACTCGATGCTGACACACACACACTTTATTTCCATCAAAATGATTTTAAAGAAGTAGAAGACGCTATTTTAAAACTGATTTGATTAGAAAAACATCATTGGTAAAATGTATTTTTTGATTTGTAATACAGTTTTTTAATTCGCAATTTTGCATTAATAAAAAATAAATTCAACTGAATACGCTGTAAAATGGTCATTGACCATTTTGATACATTTATTGGAGTGACAACTTTGAATAAAATATATTGACCAGAATAACGGTGTTTTTACATTTGATTAAAAAAAGTACATTTTTATTCAACCGTCCGATTTTTACAACGTGCTTCAATGTTGAATCAAACTAAATTGAACTCCAATTAATTAGAAAATATTCCATGTGCGATTCACTATTTCTGTTAAAATTAGTGGAAAAGAAAAATATTTTTCTACTTTCCGAGAGATGAGGAAATTACATTTTAATTTGCTTATAATAAAAGCAATTTGATTTAGCTAATTAAATCCTTAAAAAAAAACGATTGAAAAAACGAAACACTTTGGTTTGATTTGACTTTGTCGGATTCATTGCTTGGTCTAAGCGTTTGCCTCGTATTTGTGTTCGGCTCGAATGCGCATCAGATGCATATGCACTGAAATAAAAATGAACCATAATACATTTAATATTTAACTGCTGTTTTTTCTTTAAAAATAACTCACATTCATGATCAATTGATTCCAGTTCTATTTCTTGAATTGGAACTGGAACTGGCGGCTTGAAAATATTATCGATAGGCTGATATCCTTCAGATGTTTTTTCCATTGCATCAACAATTTTCGTGGCCTTTAAATTCTTTTTCAAGCGATTGATCTCAATGATGGAGAGTTGGTGAAGTGCCACTGTACATGGCTTGCAACCAAAGGCTTCACATAAAAAATCGTCCATATTTCTCAATTTCTTTTCAATGGCACCAATGCGCGGTCGAAGTGCTGTGTAAAAATTGTACGAATTTTTTTTCACAATTTTTAATTTTAAATATTAACTATTTTATAAAAAAAACTTACGTCGATTCAAAACTTGTTTCGGCATTTTTCTTCGTTGTAATACTGTTAGCACAGTAAGAGACTAGGTAAGAGACACGCTTCGCTGTGATATGGTTTGCAAAGTAAGTAAGACACGGCTTACTAGATAACTAATAACAGACTTTCAGTTTGAATTTGACAAAACAATAATCTAGGCAAAACTGTCACTGGCACGAATTGGCGGTAACAAATTTGACACTTTTAACTTACTCTTTCATTACTACTTGTTACCGTACTCTCGCAAAGACACACTGACCAATTTAAAAAAAAACACATTCAAAAATGACATCATTTTTAAGAGAAAAGTGCATAATTTGTCAAGATTTGTTGTTTAATCATCAAAAATTGAGCACAATTTCAACATGTGGACACGTATACCATGATCATTGCGTTCGCTGGGGATTGCACAAGTGAGTTTAATCGAGAGTTTTTACAGTTTGATGTTTGATTATCCAAGGAAAATATAGTTCGTGTTTTTTTAAAACCATTTTCTTCGTTTATTCAATTAAATAGGGATAATCGCTGTCCGCTTTGTCGAAAAACTTCTGATCGACGTAATCTGGTGCGACTATTTTTCGGCGAAGGAAATCTTGGCGATGCCAATAATGTTGTTGATTCTCCTACAAATGAATCGAAACCCATTATCGCTGCAAGAATCAATGTAAGACGTCAGTCTGATAATATTGCTAGAAAAGTAAACGATTTGAATATCATCTGTCCGGCCAAAATTAGTATGAGACGTCAGACTTGCAATGAAAAAAGAAATTTGACTCAAACAAATGATTTGATTACCGTTGCTATTGCCAAAATTGATGCCAGATACACAGCTACTGATGCTGAGATAAATGAAGTTCAAATGAATGATTCGAAAGCCACTATAGCCACAGCAACCAATACAATAATCCCTACAATCAAAACTCAACCAACTCCAACAGTCACCCGTACAAATCCTCGTCGAATAAAAACTGAAACCAACCGATTCAATTTCAATCAACGTCGATGTGTCGTTTGTACCAAAAAATTCTTGATCACAAATGTAAACGATTTCGATGTTTGCAGTGTGTGCTATCGAAAGATCTCCAGTTAAAATAAATAAATCAAAACACAAGTGTGCCATTCATCGATTTTTTTTTTTTTGCATTCTCAAAGTTGCATGAAATTATTTGTCCAAGGTGTGAGTCAGTTAATATTTTTTTGTAATTTTAAAATTTCTATGAAATACAAAATATTTATATTCAAACAACATCAGCTGCTCTTCTTTATTTGGAAATAATAATAAAAAATTATAAGTCAAAGTTATATTGCAATAGTCAATGTGATTTCTATTCAAACAATTAATGTAAAATGAGTTTCGTCTCTAAAATAAATTAAATCAATTTTTAGATCTTTGTTGTGTTAATTTAGAATTACAAAATACATGTATTGGCTGTATACAGCCATCAGTCGTAAATTGATAGAGTATCTTCAAAATCAATTATATCCTCACTTATTTCGTCCAAATTTCCATATGTTGATCCTTTCAAACTGAGTTTTTCATATTGGTCACTTGTCAATGTTATGATGATTGAGTTGTTGGCTGGAACCGTATTGATGCGACTGTTATCTCCTCGTGTGATCGTGCTTTCAGAAGTGCGTTTTGCGAGATGTGCCGTATCATTTGAGTTGTTCTCAGAATTCTTGGTCTTGTCATTGGATGTAGTGGCAGTGGAGTGAAGACGAATGTGTTTGAAAATATTACTGACTTTCCAGTGCTTTTCATATCGAATGTTGGAAATCGAGCCGCAAACTGGACAGGAAATTGAGCAATGGGCAAGTAGCGAATTTTCCGTAGTGATCAGCTTTATTTCATTTACGGAATCATCCCAATTTTCTTTCAAGCCGAGAGCATGTGCATAAGTTGACACTTGATTGATCAATGAAATACGAAGATCATTTTCATTTAAAGTTGGTGAGTTTCGATGTTTAATAACTTTCGGCTTCTTCATCTCTTGCCGACTCAATAATTCTTGTTTTATCCCCATAATTAATGAACGATGGCCGGGAAGGAATGTGAATGGTTGTTTTGGTTTGTACTCAACAAACGAATCAGCAAGAGATCTGGCATTTTTCTCGATGTATGCTTCCAATTCGATCAATTTTTCTTCGGTCACAGTTAAAAAACTAAATGCTGAATTATATCCAACTGCTGACAAAATATCTTTCACAGATTCTGGAATTGAACCGATTAGGCCAATATTTTTCATCGATTCTTCAAATTCGGACCAAAAGTCATTGAATGTCTTTCGCTTCGGCTATAAAATATTTCGATAAATAGAATTAGGTTTCAGTAAACCGGCAATTTTATTTTTATCGTATTTTACATCACACTTACCATTTTGAATTCACACTCTTTTTAGAAGTTTATTTGTTGATATTTTACAAGTATTTTTAATGAAAAATAGTATGTATTCGCTTCAAACAAAAATGCTGCTGATTTCTGCTGTTTTCAAAATGCGCTGTGTCAACAAAACAAACAAGTTTAGACTGAAATGTCATAGATGAATTGATCATCACGTTTGACATTTGACATTATTGGCAGTTCCGTCGGCAATGAAACTTTCGATTCGTTGGTAAACAACATATTAAATTTATTATAAAGTGAGAAAATATATTTTTTTATTTAATTATTGTTTCCGATTGTTTATTCATATAAAATTATTCAAATAAAATAATTTAATCTCTTTCAAAATTCAAGAACAAAGTCAAAATGAATACTACTCGCACACTTCGATCTATGACAAAAATACAACAAGAACGAAAATTGCTGCAAACAGGAGACATACAACAAGACAAACAACATTCAGCCAAAGGGAAAAAAACGATACACAAAGAAAAATTCACCGAGAATAAAGCGAAAATATCCAGTCGCCGTGATTCACATGTAAATAAAAAATCATATGTCGAGTCCAAAACGTTGAAGAAATGTAATTTTCAAAGTGTATCTTCTGCAAAAATTGTAAACCGTCGCCAAACAATATGTGTGCCAACTGAAACTTCGGTTGAAACTGAGCTACGAGATATTATTCATAAAGAAAGACAAAAGTACCAGTTTCTCGATGCACATTATCGTCAATTACAGGAAGAAAAAATTATGTTGGATTCAAATTTCAACAAAGAAAAGATGCTCGGGAAACAACTCTTGAAAGAAAACAAACAATTATCAGATGAGAATCAAAAACTCCGAAAGGCAGCTCAAACGTATAATCAATGCACAATTCTCACTGAACATAACTACGCATAATTGAGATTCAATTTATTTTCAAGACTGATGTTTTATTTCTGTTTTTTTTTTTCGATTAGTTTGAAATAAAAAAATGTTGTGATGCATTTATCACTGTTTACAATTTCTTTCGAAAATATACACATAACGATAATTCTTAAATTCTGCAGTATTAGATAATGCAGATTATTTGAACTCAAAACGGAGAATACTTCTACATTCGGTGAATACGTCAAAGAGATTGGTGATTATTTATATTATTTTGAGATTGGTTATTTATTTACTATCGCTGATTAACTATTCCATGTGTCTACCCCCTAGAGCGAAACATTTGGTGAGCTCGTATTGTGCGTAAATAGATAATGTATTTGTAGGCGTGAGAGAAATAGGTGGCTGCCGCATTCGATTTTTTCGGTTTGTCCGTTGATATCGATACTTTTAAGATATTCTTTGGTTTATGTGTGCCATTAACATCTTTCGGCGCACAAATTACCCGAAATATTTTCGGATTATATACATTGTGTATCCAGTGACACGCATATTTGCATTTGTATCCATCATTTCATACATCGCTTTATATTCAACTACGCATTGAGTTGAAAAAAAAAGTGAGCACGTATATCAGCATAACAAATTAGCACGTCATAACAGGTTCGCTTTTTTTACGACTGTCCATTTTTGGACTATTTTCTGAATTGAGCACGTTACCTCTTGCGAATATATGCATCGTTGTGTGTACCGTTATTATTACTTGTTCACGTTGAATGTG